GGACGGGAGGAGGCGCTGGGGCCGCGCGCACACGGAGCCCCCCCCCGCATACTCCCCATCCCCCCCCGGCTCTCAGCGGCCCCTCAGCCCAGGTCTGACCGCTCGGGGCGCTCCGCAGCTCTGCAAAGCCAGGGCGGCCCCCAGCTCCCCGCCCCCATCAGGGACCCTGCCGTGGGGGCTGCGATTGATCCCCGAGCTCGTGTGAGCGAGGAGGCCGCGGTGACCAACACACGGGGGGGCCTCGCAAGCTGCTACAGCTTGACTGAGAGACCCCCGGGCTGCCCCCCCCCTGCAAAGTCCTGGCACGGGGCGTGACACCAGACCCCTGCCCCCATGGCCGTGTGCTTGGGCAGCCTAGCCGGCGTTTACACTGCCCCTCCTGCTCTCACAGTGCCCCGGAGGAGCAAACCTTACTGCATAGTCCATGGGCGAGCTGCTGCTTGTAGGGGGTCTGGGGGGATTTGCATTTCTCCGCAACATCCTTCCCCAGCTGACCTGGAAAATCCCCCCCCCCCGGGGGGCTGTGGGAAATGAGGGGGTGAGGGGTGGTTTCTCTTCTCTAGCAGAATGGGGGTGTCAAACACTGCAGAAGCCACCAGTCCCACTGGCGCAAGTTACTCCACTGACTCCCTTCTGGGCAGCCTAAGCAGAGGGGTCAGGGCCAAGGATAGCCTGGGCCATGGGGGATGGGGATCCGTCTCACCCCTAGAGATGGGGCCCCATGGGAAGCCAAGCAAGAGCCCTGCGTCAGCCCCTACTGTGCATGCTCTGAAGATAAGTACAGAACCCCAGGCTCAGGGACCGCCACTGCCCAGCATCTTCCACCCGCTGCTAATTTGTCTCCAGAGAAAAATCAGTGTGGGGTTTGTTTAGCTGGTGCTCTCCTTTCTGGCTATTCTTCCACGGCTGCCTGTGTGTTGTGCCAGGGATGGAATAGCCAGGGGCTGCAGGTTGAGATTGAGGGGCACCAGCAGAGCTGTGGGGGCGGGATTGGATAGCTGGGGACTGTGGGTTGGTATTGAGGGACATCAGCAGAGCTAGTGGGGGGGAACCCAGGGCTGGGCTAGCATGTGGATTTGGGTCAGGACTGAGGGTCACTGGCAGGGCTATGGTGGGACATGGGCTCAGGTCAGGATTGAGGGGCACCGGGTGAGGTGGGGGGAGCCCATGGTGAGGATAGGGGTTTGGGTTGGAAGTGAGGGGCACCGGCAGAGCTGTGGGGGGGGCGGAGGATGAGAGCTGAGATGAAATGCGCAGAGAGCAGATTCCTTTCTGGACTCATGGAATGCATTAAAGACCTTCCCCCCCCCCACCCACACACACACCCCAGAGACTCCAACTGGTAATGGATGGGCTAGGAAGCCCCACCTTTCCCTGATGGCATCACCGGGGGGTGGGGGGGAGTATATTAAAGGAGCCCCTTGGTTCCAGGCAGTCCAGAGTAGCCGCAGGACACAGGAAGACTCCACTCCTGTTCCCTGTCTTAAAGGGGCAACCCTCCCAATTAGCTCTGGGCATCCGTCACCCCCTGGGGTACCCCTTGCCCCCTAGTCTCCGGTCCAGGCATCCCATCTGCCCTGGGCTGGTGGGCCACGCCCTGCTCCCGATGCCCATGCTCTCCTCCAACATGAACTGCGTAGCCGAGTTCTTCACCTACGAGACCACCAAGTCAGTGGTGGTGAAGAGCTGGACCGTTGGCGTGATCAACCGGGCTGTGCAGCTGCTCATCATCTCATACTTCATCGGGTGAGTGCCTCCAGGCCAGAGGAGTCTCACTGCCACTCGGGCTTCATGGCCAAACCCCCTTCCCCCTGGGCCTCATTATCCTGGGGATCAAGGGGTGAGTCCCAGAGGACCAGGAGAATTCCCCTCCAGGGTGCATACCATCATACACTGATCTCCAGAGAGCCCCGCTCCCGGAGGAAGGAGGCTGAGGGATGAGCCAACCTCACCTTGGCACAGAATTACTCCCAAGGATAAAGAGCCCCGCTTGCCCACTGACCTGGCCCTGCATGTGGGTTGCAGAGGGGTGGGGGGAGAGGATATGCTCCCTGGGAGGAATGTAATCAGCTCATCCAACCACAAGGGTCTCTCTCCTCCCCACTCCTAGCTGCTGATGGGCGTTGCCAGGTGGGGCTGTGCTTGGGGACACAAGAGGTCCAAGCCCTGCTGGCCCTAACCACTGGGGCCAGACAGCATCTCCTAGAGATGCAGCTATCCCCTTTCTGCCACCAGTGTGCTTAATTGAAGGGTGGGAGGCTGGCTTTGGAGAAGCTCTTGGTGCATGGTTGTACACACTGTCCAGCCTGACAGTGCCCATCCCTGCCTATCAGCCTCCCCGCGGGAGAGTGCAGAGACAGCCGTTGGGCAGGGTGTCCGGGCAGGGCTGGTGTGTGTGTGACGCTGTGTGAACAGGAGGGGCAGGGCTGTGTGTGGATCTGAGGAGTGAGGGTGGGGGGAGGGGAAGTTGTGCGGGGGGGGCTGGGAGGAAGGGGTGCAGCAGAGGTTGTGTGAGCGGGTGGGGGCTGGGAGGACGGAGCAGAGGGTTGACGGGCAGGATACACGGGGGGTTGGGAGGGTGGGGCACTTTCTCCACCGGCAGTGAAGGCCAAGGGAATTAACCTGCAGCCCTTCCCCCACAGGGATGCTGAGCTCCCTCTGGGTCCCACCACAACCCTAGTGGCTCCCATGCCACCCCTTCCCCCCCTTGCATGGTCCCCCAGCCCAGTGACTTCCACGCAGCCCCTCTCCTTCACCCCCTGCCCCAGTGACCCCTTTGGCACTTTTGAAAATGGGACTTGTGCTCCTAAGTCACTGCTTTGGATTATTTCATCCTAAATCCCTGTGATTTCCAATGAGGTTCAGGGCCAGATTTTCAAAAGCCTTTCACTCCCTTTCATGCCCCAAAACAGAAGCCCAGATTTCCAAAATATCTTGATGATTGGCCCTGAGTTCTTGTAAACAATCGGGCTGCACTAGGAGACATCGTGTGCTTGGTGAATTTGGCCCCCATTGTGTTCAGGGTGACTGCAAAAAAAAAATTGGACTTCGTGCTCTTTTGAAAATCTCTTTTTTGGGCTCCTAAGCCCTGGGACGTTAGATCCTCCATTACCTGGGCACTTTTGGAAAATCTACCACGGCGCAACAAGAAAAAGCAGTGAAGGTAGTGGGGGTACAACTGCAGAGAAGAATCTGCAGGGGGCCACTAGGTGGCACAAGATGTTTAGGAAGAAGAGCTCTGTGTGGCTTTTACATCCAGGCTGGCTCTGAGCCCGCTCCGCTCACTTGTTATTTTAAATGAACATTTTAACTTTTGCCGCCGCTTTTCAGAAGGAAGTGGCATTTCAGTAACTGGGGTTACTGAATCAACCTACCCCCAAAATCAGGCGACAGTCTTATAAAATTCCTTTGCCTTCTGGATCCTGAGCCGTCCGGGGACATGGGGGTCCTGTTATCATGTTCTTCTTGGTAATCAGCATGACTAGACGCTTGCATTTGGTTTTTGTTGATAAAAGCAAAGTGTGTGACCTCATCTTGCCAAGGGGCACTGCTGGCTGTGTGCCAGCATTTGAACGGGGAGGTGATCCCGCAGCAAGGACCGATGGTAAACGGACGAGCTGCCCCAGGTGGGCAGCAATGCAGTGTGGGATGGCAGCAGGAGGGTGGTCAGGAGCAAAATGGTCCTTTTGAAAGGGGATGCGGCTACCCACACTGAAAGAGCTCACCCGCTTCCAAAACGGATTGATGAATGTGGCACAAGACACTGGATCATTTGAAAACAGGACACGTGTGTGGACCCAATGCAGTTTAGGCTGAAGTAAACTAAAGTTAATCCGAAAACAAAACCATTTCCATTCAGACACATTAAATCCCATGACTCGAGGAGGTGGGGCTCTAGCAATGCCAGCAAAGACTCCCAATAAAATCCCAAGAGTTGGGGACAATGCAAAGGGATCTTCACAACTCTCTCCTGAGCCTGTCCCAGGTTGGCGAATTGTGGGGGAGTTTCCCCAACCTGTCCCTCCAATGAGAGGCTAATGTTGGTCTCTGTCCCTCTCTCCCCACAGCTGGGTGTTTCTCCATGAGAAGGCGTACCAGGTGCGGGACACCTCCATTGAGTCCTCTGTGGTGACTAAGGTCAAGGGCTTCGGCAAATACACCAACAGGGTCATGGACACGGCAGACTACGTTACACCCCCACAGGTAATCCTCATGTTGGAGGGCCAGTACCAGAGGAGTGGTTAAAAATAGCCAGGACTGGGGTATTGTGCGATTGGAGCTAAGGATGCCAAAAAGGGCTGGATTGTTACTGCTATTATTCATGTTATGGTAGTGTCCAGAGGCTCCAGCTGAGATCAGGGTCCGGTCATGCTGGACTCTGCTCACCCCAGACACAGCGAGAGACAGGCCCTGCCCCAAATGAGATCAGGGCCCCGTTGTGCCAGGCGCTGCACAGACACAGAGCGAGAGACAGGCCCTGCCATGATTGAGAAAATGAGGAGATAAATAATACTTAGTCTAATCTTATCTAGCTAGCTCTTTGGGGCAGGGACTCTCTCTTATTAATGTGTGCAGCCCCCGGCACAGTGGGGACCCCGATCTTGGCTGATGCTACAGTGATATAATGAATACTGGTCCCTGCTGACTGCAGCTTCAGCCTCTAAGCTTGAATTCAACGAACTGTATCGCTGATACCTGCCTTATTCAATTAAACAACCAGCTGTCGGCCTGGGTACTCCCAACTGCAGGGGGTGCCCCCTGTGAATCCCTTCTGTGAGAGGATGAGGTCCCTAGATTAGAACAGGGAGAGATCTGTGGGCGTCATGGCAGAGGAGGGGGTTGAAAGAGGAGAAGGCAGCAGCTTTATGAATACAGACAGGGCCGGCTCCAGGCACTCGCTTAACAAGCAGGTGCTTGGGGCGGTCAAGGGAGAGGGGCGGCACCTGCGGCAATTCGGGGGCAGTAGGTCCCTCACTCCCTCTAGGAGCGAAGGACCTGCCGCTGAACTGCCGCTGCCGATCGCGGCTTTTTTTTTTTTGCTTGGGGCGGCAGAAATGCTGGAGCCGGCCCTGAATACAGAGGGGGAGACACCCTTCCCACCTCCCGTGGTGGATCTGTGAGGGGACCCATGAGCTGGAGGAATTTTGTTCCTTTACTTTTGGCCTCATCAGAATCAAAGCAAAATATCTGATCCCTCCTTAGAACCGCCTAGGACGTAGAAGGTTAAAGATAGCATTTTCCTGAGCCATCAGCAGCTTTCCTGTGTCCCCTTTACAAGCTGTGAGCACAAGCACACAGTGTTCAGGATAAACAGACCGGCCTTGACATTGCATTGTAGCTACTGCTCCTTCCCCCAGCTTCAAACAGGGACGTACAACACAGTGCTCTCCCGATTGGAAATTGCCAGAGCAGGTGCAGAGTAAATTAGGAAGATGGAGGATACAGAACTAGAGCTGAGCAAAAATTTTAGTTGAATTGGGGGGGGAGGGAGCAAAAATTGCTCTAACCCCTAGGTCATGCTCTTCCCGAAGAAACCACAAGAACTCGGGATGGGGCGCTTTCTCCCTCTAGTGGCTGCATCGTGTAAAGCATGTTGCTGGCTGTGAGCTAACATAGCTGGCTCTAGTCACTGAGGGCAGGTCTTCACTACGGGGGGGTTGATTTAAGATACGCAAATTAAGCTACGTGAATAGCGTAGCTGAATTCGACCTATTGGAGCCGACTTACCCCGCTGTGAGGACGGCGGCAAAATCGACCTCCGCGGCTCCCCGTCGACGGCGCTTACTCCTACCTCCGCTGGTGGAGTAAGCGCGTCGATTCGGGGATCGATTGTCGCGTCCCGACGAGACGCGATAATTCGATCCCTGAGAGATCGATTTCTACTCGCCGATTCAGGCGGGTAGTGTAGACCTACCCTGAGAGACAAGGTGAGTGAGATAATATCTTTTAATGGATATCTTTAAGGATCTGTTTGTCAATAAAAAAAAATAATTCTTCTATGAAAAGGGCCATGCCTAGGGAGCGAATCAAGGTGCTTTGATCTAAGAGATTTGCTGGTTGAAAAATTTCCATTAAAACTGTTTTTTAGTGGAAATGGGGTTTTCAGCTAAACACATTTTTTTCAGAGAGGTGCCCGCTTTCCTCAGAAAATTTGGATTTTTTTTAGTTAAAAAGACCAAACACCCCAAACTCAAAAAAATATTTCAATCAGGAATGAATGAGTTCATTCCTCATGAGAGTTGTAGTTCATTTGCCTCTTGTCCCTGTTCTTCTGTGTGGGTTGGGCTCCCTGGCCAGACTACATTTCCCATGAACGGTTAGGGGCTTCCATGACACACCCACCTCCCTTCACCCTGAGGGGAGACTGCAGTGCCTCATGGGAGATGTAGTCTGGCTAAGAAACCTGGCCTAGAGAGGAAAACGGGGAGGGGGGTGCATGAGGCACCAGAACTACAGCTCCCATGAGGCACCACAGTGATGTTTCCAAATGGAAATATTTTGATTTCTGGTTATTTTTGCCAACAATTCAAAATTTCCTGTGGAAATAAAAGGCATTTTCAGACCCGCTGTTTCTAGGAGAAGGAGCCCCTAGTGCTGGGGCTGCAGATCTGGCCCCTTAACGCGAGCTGGGGGTCTGGCCCAGCGTCCAATACACACACACACACTGAAAAGGTGTCGCTGCAGCTGTGTTGAGGCTGACCTTTTCCTGAGGCTTGGCTGCTCAGCTGCATAAGCAACTCGCTCACTTCCCACCAGCCCCATGATCTGCTCTGGTCATTAAGGGGGTCAGGACCATTAACCCTTCCCAAAAAGACTTGTGGCTGTGTCCTGACAGGCTGGTGAGGCGGCTGGTCACAGAGGAGGTCAGTGCCATTCAGGTACCTTCACTCATGCGAGCCCCAGGGAGCACTAGTCACCGGGCTGCTGGCCTCATGCTGAGAGGCAGGGGGCAGAGTGGGCTGGCCAAGCCCTCCTCAATGGCCCCTGTGTCTCAGCCTCACCTACTGTCCTGAGGTCACTGCTGTAGCTCCCTATGGAGGGCAGGCCAGGGGAGTGCTCAGTGGGCATGTGAGACGCGCTTGGTTCTCTAGACTTCACATCTGAACGTGATGGGCAACCCCTGCTGAATGCATAGTGAGACAGGCTCGGGATGGCTGGCTGCTGGGCTTATTCTGAAGGCTAACTGTCCTCCGCATGTCACTGCCCCACTCTGTGCCTCAGTTTCTCCTCCCACCCGTTGTCTCTCAGATTGCAGCACTTTAAGGCAGGGACACGACAGGGCTCTGATCTCAGCTGGGGCAGGGCCCGTCTCTCGCTGTGTGTCTGTGCAGCACCCGGCACAACACAGTCCCTGATCTCAGCTGGGGCAGGGCCTGTCTCTCACTGTGTGTCTGTGCAGTGCCCGGCCCCACGGGGCTCTGATCTCAGCTGGGGCAGGGCCTGTCTCTCACTGTGTGTCTGTACAGCACCCGGCACAACAGGGCCCCAGTCTCAGTTACTGCTCTCATCCTGCTACTAAAAATGTCACACCCTGGTTCGTACGTCAGAGGGAAATTCACACACACAACACACACTCTGGTACAACCACTGACACAGTTTTCACTCATGTTGTCTGGGATCACTTTGCTTCTCTGATATCACAGGGTGGATGAGCCCTAGCTTCAAACCCCTGGGTTTGTGAAAGCTGTCTGCATCTAGCCTCAATTTCCAGCGTGCTGAGAGTAATCCTTGTGCTATTGACCCAGCAGCCTGGGGAACAAACTGGGGTTCCCTTTTGGATCATCTTTGCACAATCAAAACACATGAGGGCTTACAGCTCCCCGGGCAGTGACCCCCTTGTAATGCGTGCTGGGCTCTGTGGTTGAGAATGCTGTAGAACAGTGGTTGTTATGGCTAATGTGCCCTCTGGCTTGGACAGGATCCCTGCCCATAGGTTGTGCTATAGAGACCACAGTGCATCTTTAGCCAGCTGGGGTTGGTAGAAAAACCTACATGGAAACTCGAGCTCATACAGCACCCAGTTGCCCACTGGCCTGGTAAGTAGAGACCGCAGCAAACCCAGGCCATGCAGGTTCTGTGAGCTCCACCAGCTTTCTGTATTGAATACAAAGCCCTGCTCAGAATCGTAGAATATCCTGGGTTGGAAGGGACCTCAGGAGGTCATCTAGTCCACCCCCCTGCTCAAAGCAGGACCAATCCCCAGACAGATTTTTGCCCCAGTTCTCCAAATGGCCCCCTCAAGGATTGAACTCACAACCCTGGGTTTAGCAGGCCAATGCTCAAGCCACTGAGCTATCCCTCCCCACCCAAATCTACAAGGTTTAGGATTTGAGCCCACCACCCACTCACGGTGCCTCATACAGATCCCAGAGCTCCTGGGCGGGGCGGGGCGGGGCAGGGCGGGGGGGAGCTTTGGGTGGGGGGATTCCAGCTATGCAAGACATGATCAGGGCTGATCAGATGCAACACGTGCATGGTCAGGAGCAAGCTATGAGGCCTGTCTCCAGGGAAGAACACACCCTCCCACGCAAGTTACGTTCGGGAACCAACAACAGTTTGGGTTCATTGGCAAATAGGAAAAGTAGGGGCCGGGGGAGAAATTGTTTCAGGTCCACCCAAAAATGAAGTGTTTTGAAATTTTCAGTGAATTGGGGGGGGAAATCATTTTGGGTAGAATAAAACATTTTGTTTTGATTGCGAGTGGATTTTAAATAATTTTTAGAAAATAAAATTGATGGAAGTTTTGAAAGGAAAATCTCCTCTGCCCTGAAAAGATGGAAAGGTTTCGCTGCGCAAATGTCTAAACAAAATGTTCTGACTTTGTAAAAATACACCCCCTGATATGAACAACTCGGCAAAACCACCCTGAATTTACAAAATGTTTTGGAGGCACAGCATTTGCATTTTTCACCCAAAAAAAGTCTTGGGTGATTTTCCCCCCAGTGCTGGTCTTCAGTGCAGTTATCTCCAATGCTGCCCCAACTGGAGCCCTGTCCACACGCACACAGATCCTTCCCTAGGTCGCGGTGGTGCTTCTAAGCCGAGTTAGCCAGCCCGAGAAGGGGAGAGGCAAAGGGCACCGGAACCTTTGTAGAAGTGGGGGGCCAAGGCCAAAGTGCCACTTCCCCCTCTGCAGCTGGCTGCTCCAGTGGTGAGCCAGCTGCCTTCTCTTCTGGCACCAGAGCAGCCCCTGGTGGGCGAAAGGTGTAATTGCAGTGCCTCCCTGGCAGAATCTATTATTCTAGGTGGAAAAAAGAAATCTGCGGGGGACATGAATTCTACACTTGTGCAGTGTGCAGAATTCCCCCAGGAGTATATAGTGCATCTTGAATTCCCCCAAGTTCCAGTGCTGGTGGGAGAGGCTACAGCTCAAGTGAGCTCACATTTGCAGGCCAGTGTCATTTTGCAGTGTGGAGCTCTCCCTGGAGCTGAGCTAACTCAAGAGGAGCTAACTCCAGCTTCACTCAAGTTATCTCTGCAGTGAGAGCAGACTTTTAGGAAAGACCCAGATGCTGTATTGCTGATTTCCCCTCGTCTGGGAAACTGATCTGCAAGGCCCTGGATGTCTGCCACTGCTTAGTAGAGGGGCGACACAGGAGTCAGAATGAACGGGAATGCGCTCTTGAGATCCCTAGTTCAATCCCCGTTCATGTCTAACATGCCATTAATTACATCGATCCTGTTGTGTTCATGGCATATCTAAGTAGTTAGATAAAAATTAGGCTGTCGATTAATCGCAGTTAACTCACACGATTAACTCAAAAAAATTAATCGCGATTAAAAAAATTTATCACGATTAAGTGCTGTTTTAATCACAGTTATACAATAGAATACCAATCAAAATTTATTAAATATTTTGGATGTTTTTCTATATTTTCACGGATGTATTCTGTGTTATTGAAATCAAGGTGTGTATTATTTTGATTACAAATATTTGCGCTGTAAAAATGATAAACAGTATTTTTCAGTTCACCTCATGCAAGTACTGTAGTGCAATCTCTTTGTCGTGAAAGTGCAACTTACAAATGTAGATTTTTTTGTTATATAACTGCATTCAAAAACAAAACCATGTAAAACTTCAGAGCCTACAAGTCCACTCAGTCCTACTTCTTGTTCAGCCAATTGCTAAGACAAACAAGTTTGTTTACATTTACAGAAGATGATGCTGCCCTCTTCTTATTTACAATGTCACCAGAAAGTGAGAACAGGCATTTGCATGGCACTTTTGTAGCTGGCATTGCAAGGTACTTACATGCCAGATACGCCAAACATTCGTATGCCCCTTCATGCTTCGGCCACCATTCCAGAGGACATGCTTCCATGCTGATGACGCTCGTTTAAAAAAAATGTGTTAATTCAATTTATGACTGAACTCTTTGGGGGAGACTTGTATGTCCCCTGCTCTGTTTTACCCACATTCTGCCATATATTTCATGTTATAGCAGTCTCGGATGATGACCCAACACATGTTGTTCATTTTAAGAACACTTTCACTGCAGATTTCACAAAACGCAAAGAAGGTACGTGACTGGTACTTGACTGGTTCCGTCACAGAAACCCCCTTGGGACTGTCACCTGATGTGCTAGCTCTGAGCCCATTTTCTCTGATGGCTTGGGATTCCACAACCACGTCTTGTTGACTGCAACACAGACCCAGGGTCTGAACCACGCCTCCAAAGCCATAGACTTAATAGAAAACAGCTCAGAAAGTGTTCTTGTCTTCAGCACCCAGACACCCAGCTCCCAATGGGATCCAAACCCCAAATAAATCCATTTTACTCTGTATAAAGCTTATACAGGGTAAATTTATAAATTGTCTGCCCTCTATAACACTGATAGAGAGATATGCACAACTGTTTGCTCCCCCAGGTATTAATTACTTACTCCAGGTTTAATAATACACAAAAGTGATTTTATTAAGTATAAAAAGTTGGATTTAAGTGGTTCCAAGTAATAACTGACAGAACAAAGTAAGTTACCAAGTAAAATAAAGCAAAAACATACAAATCTAAGCCTAATACATTGAGAAACTGAATACATTAAATCTCACCCTCAGAGATGTTCCAATAAGCTTCTTTCACAGACTAGACTCCTTCTTAGTCTGGGCCCAACCCTTTCCCCTGGTACAGTTCTTGTTAGCTCCAGCTCAGGTGGTAACTAGGGGATTTCTCATGACTGCAGCTCACTTTGTTCTGTTCCACTCCCTTTAATAGCTTTGGCACAAGGCGGGAATCCTTTGTCCCTCTCTGGGTTCCCACCCCTCCTCCTAAATGGAAAAGCACCAGGTTAAAGATGTATTTCAGTTCAGGTGACATGATCACATGTCCTGTGAGGCTTCATTACCCACTTGCTGGCACACATGTATACAGGAAGCCTTACAAGTAAACAGAGCCATTTACAACCAATTGTCCTAGTTAATGGGAGCCATCAAGATTCCAAACCACCATTAATGGCCCACACTTTGCATAATTACAGTAGGCCCTCAGAGTTATATTTCATATTCCTAGTTTCAGATACAAGAATGATACATTCATACAAATAGGATGACCACAATCAGTAGATTATAAGCTTTGTAATGATACTTTACAAGAGACCTTTTGCATAAAGCATAATCCAATTACATCATATCTACACTTATAAACATATTTTTATAAAAATATGGAGTGCAACGTCACAGTACCAATGTGAGATTTCTAAAGATAGCTACAGCACTTGACCCAAGGTTTAAGAATCTGAAGTGCCTTCCAAAATCTGAGAGGGACGAGGTGTAGAGCATGCTTTCAGAAGTCTTAAAAGAAGAACACTCCAATGCAGAAACTACAGAACCTGAACCACCCAAAAAAATAAATAAATAATAAAAAAAAAATCAACCTTCTGCTGGTGGCATCTGACTCAGATAATGAAAATGAACATGCATCAGTCTGCACTGCTTTGGATTGTTATCAAGCAGAACCCGTCATCAGCATGGACGCATGTCCTCTGGAATGGTGGTTGAAGCATGACAGGACATATGAATCTTTAGCGCATCTGGCACATAAATATCTTGCAATGCCAGCTACAACAGTGCCATGCGAACACCTGTTCTCACTTTCAGGTGACGACGTAAACAAGAAGCGAGCAGCATTATCTTCTGCAAATGTAAACAAACTTGTTTGTCTGAGTGATTGGCTGAACAAGAAGTAGGACTGAGTGGACTTGCAGGCTCTAAAATTTTACATTGTTTTATTTTTGAATGGAGGTTTTTGTACATAATTCTACATTTGTAAGTTCAACTTTCATGATAAAGAGATTGCAGTACGGTATTTGTATTAAGTGAATTGAAAAATACTATTTATTTTGTTTTTTTACAGTGCAAATACTTGTAATCAAAAATAAATATCATGTGAGCACTGTACACTTTGTATTCTGTGTTGTAATTGAAATTAATATATTTGAAAATGTAGAAAACATCCAAAAATATTTAAATGGTATGCTATTATTGTTTAACAGTGTGATTAGTCGCAATTAATTTTTTTAATTGCTTGACAGCCCTAATAAAAATATCAAATGCTCTTGTTGGAAGGCTGCCACATACCAGGATTTTATTTCTTAGAACTCAGAACCTTAACACTAAAACCAAAAGCAGAGTGAGACAAAGCAGGCTGCTCCCTAGCACAACTCACCCACCTCACTCTAGGCTGGCTCTCTGCAGACTGATGCTGATCGCATGCAGGCCTGGGAAATCCCCAGAAAATTTAAAGTGATCGCTCACGATTTTAACACAGTTTTCAACACGCCCTAGCTCCTGACTGTTTCACTTGCTCTGTCTCGTCTCTGCACCCTTCCCTATCCTATCTCTCTGACCCCATCCCATCTGCACAGGGGACGTCCGTCTTCGTGATCATCACTAAGCAGATTGTCACGGAGAACCAGGTGCAAGGCTTCTGCCCTGAGGTAAGCAGGTGAGGAGCGAGGGAGAATGGTGGGAGGGCTTGGGAAGGGGGAGGAGGGTTGATCTTCCCTAGTTGAGAGTGAAACTATTCTCTAGAGAGGTTCCCTTGAGGTACCCGCTGTTGGGGCATCTGGGGTCCCCCCTGTGACAGGTTGGATCACAGAAACCCTCTTGGGAGCTGCCACCCAATGTGCCCAGACTACTTCTACGCCTGCTTTCCCTGCCAGCTCGGGGCCTCAGCACCCTGTCTTGCTGAGCCAGACACTCCCGTCTGCTCCAGCAAAGACCCAGGGTCTGAATTACTTGCCCCAAAGCTGCAGGTTTACCTGAAAGCAGCTAACGGAAGTGTTCCTGTCTTTAACACTCAGATGCCCAACTCCCAATGGGGTCTAAACCCAAATAAATCCGTTTTACCCTGTATAAAGCTTATACAGGGTAAACTCATAAATTGTTCGCCCTCTATAACACTGATAGAGAGATATGCACAGCTGTTTGCTCCCCCAGGTATTAACACATACTCTCAGGTAATTACTAAGTAAAAAGTGATTTTATTAAATACAGACAGTAGGATTTAAGTGGTTCCGAGTAGTAACAGACAGAACAAAGTAAGTCACCAAGCAAAATAAAATAAAATGCACAAATCTATGTCTAAACAAACTGAATACAGATAATCTCACCCTCAGAGATGCTTCAGTAAGTTGTTTCCTCAGACTGGACACCTCCCAGGCCTGGGCACAATTCTTTCCTCTGGTACAGCTCTTGTTCCAACTCAAGTGGTAGCTAGGGGATTCTTCATGATGGCTCCTCCCCTCTGTTCTGTTCAATCCATTTATATATCTTTTGTATAAGGCAGGAACCCTTTTTCCCTCTGAGTTTCTACCCCCCCTCACTGGAAAAGCACCAGGTTAAAGATGGATTCCAGTTCATGTGACATGATCACATGTCACTGTAAGACCCCAAGCCTTCATTCCCCCCAGCCTGACTCACAGGAAGGCTTGCTTGCAAACAGAGCTCCAGTCAATTGTCCTGGTTGATGGGAGCCATTAAGATTCCAAACCACCATTAATGGCCCACACTTTGCATAATTACAATAGGCCCTCAGAGTTATATTTCATATTTCTAGTTTCAGATACAAGAGTGGTACATTTATACAAATAGGATGACCACACTCAGTAGACAATAAGCTTTGTAACGATGCCTTACAAGAGACCTTTTGCATGAAGCATATTCCAGTTACATTATATTCACTCATTAGCTTCTTTTTATAAAACCATATAGACTGCAATGTCCCAGTCACCACCATCAGAGCGGTGGCAGGAGAGGGGGAGCTATCTGTGTGCCAGCGTGTCTGTCCCTGGGGCTCATTCCCTCTGCCTGCCTCCCCCTTGCTCTCCTTTTCCAGAGCGAAGTGAAGTACAGCTGTGTGTCTGACAGTGACTGCCAGAGACCCGTCCCTACCACAGGAGGCGGTAAGAACCCAGAACCACACAGCAGCTCCAACAGGAGGCTGGGGCCTAGCATGTGGGAATGGTGGACGGATGCCCTGGCATGGTGGGGTGGCCAGGAGGGAGCAGCAGCAGTCTGCGTGGTGGGGATGAGGGAGGAGAGAGTGAAGAATAGGTGAGTGGCAGAAGCAGGGGTGGATGGATGGATTGATGCGGGGCAGTGTCTGAACCTGCCGCTTCCGGATGTAAAATCAGGAGCTGCCTTGGCGTGATCGAAAGGCCAGGCTGGCCAGCTGGGAGGTGGTAGCCGACTCAAACCTCCCTGCAGGATCTGGGCTCTGTGGGGGTGGCAGCAGGGAGCCATGTGGGCACAGAGGCAGGGTGGAGGGGCTGTGAGTGGGGCTTGTGGGGCTAATAAATAGGAGGCGGTTTCGCAGGAATCCTGACTGGCCGGTGTGTGAACTACAACAGGAGCCTGCGGACCTGTGAGATCCAGGGCTGGTGCCCGGCTGAGGTGGACACCGTCCAGGCGTAAGCTGGGCCCTTCAGGGCAGACCCCCTTTCCCCTGCTTCAGCACCCGGTTCTGTCCCTATTCTGAGAGCCCTCCTGGAAGTCACTGGCACCTAGAGGAGTCTGGGGTGCCACACCGGGGCCACCTCCTGGTGGCAATTGTGCTTGGCTGTGTCACCTGTTCTGCATGGCCAGCTCTCGACGTGGAGGGGGGACCCCAGTGCGCACTGTGCTGTGGCTATTCTCTGCCCCACAGGACCCATAGGGGGTGGATTGGGGCTGTGGCTATGCTCTGCCTCACAGGGCCCATAGGGGGTGGATTGGGGCTGTGGCCGGGTGCACAGGGCTGTGTCTAGTCTCTGCCCCACAGGGCCCAGTACGGGGGTGGATTGGGGG